TTAGCCCACGAGATACAGCGCTTCTGTCATGCCTTCTGTCATGCCTTCCTAGCTCTTGGACTCCTTGCCTGGCCAGGACAACCGCATACTAATTACTCCAGTTTCCTGCAAGAAGTACACAGCCTCTCTTATCCCTCTAAGTTTATGGTAGAGGCAAGCTCTTAAACAGGGGTTTCTTTATTCTCAGCTTTCTCATGCCAAATTAACATCTGGTGAGTCATGAGAGATGCCTGGTAGAATTCAGAACCTCCAGTCCCACTTCTAATTCCCTGACCAGTCATGGACTTACTGGCTCAACAGCAACCCTAATGGGAAAGAGAGTTTCACACACAAATCTCTCAACCCAGCTAGCAAATCTGTGTCATACCTCTGTGTGTACTTTTTTGAAAAACCAAAGCTGGCATTGAAGGATCCCAGAGGCTTTCGGGATCTGAGATAAATAGGTGGGATCCTGCTGCTATTGGCAAGCTACATCTCCAGGTAGGCACAGAGGTAATTTCCCCAACTCGCATCGCTATCCTTGACCAGGAGAAGTTATCTTTAGAACTGCAGCCATCTGCCCTCCTGCTCCTGGCACCCAGGATCAGTTAACTACTGAAGGGCTAATACCGCAAGGATCCACTTACAGTCGAGCATATGCAGACGGCAGCAGCTGGGGACTGAAGTATGTGCCTGTGCGAGGGACTGGGTGAAAGGGAAGCGGAGGAAGGGAGGTGGACATCTGATATTTAATAAAAACAGCAACGAAGTGGCATTTTAAAGACTAATGAAATTATGATGGCACATGCTTATATTTAATAATCAGTGATAAAACTCCGTATTGGAGGAGTGAAACAAGACTCCAGTGAAATGAAACGAAACCATCTGTGATCACAAGAGAACAACCAGGTGAATAGAAAGAAATAAGCTATGCTTTCATTGGAGCGACTCCTGGGGCATCCAAACTGACAGGTAACAAGGGCACAGTTCACAACAGAGCCCAAGAGTTGTCCCTGTTTGTGTATCACTTCCTTAAAAAAAGTACAATATGCTTCATTGTTCCACTACAGCACCATTCTGGAATATATGGAAACAAAGAAAATATAGTAAGTGCCTTCTGGGTCAAAAGCAGTTTGATCCAGGAAGCATTTTGCTTCCAGCTATGCACTTGCAGGGCATTTCACAGCCAAAATATTAAGAGAAGGTATTCTGCCTTTGATCATGCAGGTTCTATTCAGAGCAAAAGCCTAAAAACAGCAACCTTTAATAGCGGGTTAGCAGTGACATTGTTAACTTTTAAAAACTAACATAGCAGCATGATATACAGTAATCAGGCAAACAGCAGGGAGATGACATTTTAGGGAAACAAAGTCCAAAGAAGAAGCCATTTTGGTCTGTTAGAAAAACTATAGAAAGCTTTGAACTACCTTAATTTCCAGAGGGGTGGCAGTGTTACACTGTTGTCACAAAAACAAACCTGAATATTGTAATACCTTACAGTCTGCAATCCTATACACGTTTAGGCAGAAAATATTTGACAGCTCTCAGCACTGCTGACTTGTGCACATTGGTAGGGTCTGAACATGCATAGGACGGTACATTAACACATTCATTATGGCATACGTGGACTCCAGTCCACGATAGTTTATGCCTTAATAATTCTGTTAGCTTTAAATAGCGCTACAAAGCTCTTTGGGGGGAAAGTTCCACCCCTTTTAAATATTGGCTTCGGTGGACATGAACCAGGCCATTAAGAAGATGTCCAAGAGCCAATCCTGACAGTGCAAGTGAAATAGCTTGCGCCTCCAATCAAAGGTGTAAGTTACCTTTTCCTTTAGCTTTCCTGAGTCAAGATGTTTGTGAGGATGAGCCCCAGATCAATTTCAACTATCCCATTCAATAGCTTTCCAATTGCCTACCTTCTGGGAACACTTTTCAGATCGGCTAATTGACTAAAGACTCCTGCAATTTCCCTCAGGAAAGCCCAGCCCATATCCAGTGGATTGTGGAGCATAATTTCAGTGCAAATTCAGCCACTTGGGACACGGGGCATTGCCAGACTTACTGGCCATGGAGACTAGGCCTTGTCACCACAGCATAAAATGTATACTCCAGTGCACAACCAACACTTTCCTAGAGAGATGGCATAAGAGAGGAACAAGCAATCTGCCCTTAGGAAAATTTTATCCCTCATGGCTAATTATTTCACTGAGAAAACACTGAACATGATTCTGGGGCTACTGTCTGAAACCGAACTTGCCAGTGAGGCGTTTCACCAGCAGAGGTCTCCCAAGACCATTCCATAAAGCGCCCTATAGGTGGGAGCCATCAATTTATCAGTCCCCCTTGAGCATAAATCAGCTAACTTAAGAGATGCAGCATGTTCAGCATTCCCAGACGAGCAGCTTGGCAGCTACTATCAGTCACATCTCTTTTTCAACATTAGGCACAATCCAGTCAACACTTGAAAGCTGGAAATAGGATGCAGAAATAATGTTGGCACAAATGAAGAGAACTGCTGGCCCGAGATGACCTGCACAGTGATCCTACTGTTGGGGGCACAAGTTATCTCAGCTCATACTTACACCCTCTTGCTGAGCTGAACCCAACTGCAACAGGCTCCAGCAGATGTCCTTGTCAGCAAAAAGGGATTCCATAGATCTGGTTCTGCTATCTAAAAAACGCAAAATGCTGTCTTGGGAAAGGGGACCTTGGCACTTCAGTCGGCTTCTTGAGCTATTAGAGGGGAAGAATGCAGACCTATCCATCATGCAAGTTCACTCACACACACAAGAGCCAGCCCAAAATTTGCTGTCCTGCCCTCTGGCATAACTGGCGGGGGGGGGGGGGATGACTCATACCAAGCTCTCATGCAGGGTTTATTTTAATTTTGTGTCCTTATGCAATGGACTCACCTAGTGGCATCAAATCATAAATCAACAAAATATGGCTCCTGGGATTTCTACAACCGGATCCTAAGAAGGGCATTGTACTTTAAGAACTGCCTGGGCTGGAATTCATCACACATTCATCATTCATCACATGCCTTCACCCGGTATAATGTTGCAGTGACAGGTAAGGCTGCACCTGGCAGGATTTTCCCTTTGTGGATCTCTTCAAGGCACAGGACCAATTTTAGAAGGTGCAGCTGGCGTGCTTGGGCCACTGTGCCAGCCACTCCTACCCAGTACAGAGATGGTTTCCTCTGCATCCCAGTTACTCCCCCACTGATCTTTACTTTTTCCTGCCCTGCTTCACTTGGCCAGACTGACTTCCAGCCACTATCTGCAGCCCAGTGTGCTCGCTCTTTCTACCTCACTTCTTCTTCAGCGTCCTCCTTCCTCCACCTGCTTTGAGGCCTTCCTTTGGCCATTTTTCTGTGCCCCTCTTCTTCCCTGAAGCCAACATGTGGTATTACTTAGATGCAGCTACACTGACTTTTTGGTGGAAGTTTGCCTGCGAAAGGATGATTCAGATTGTCCATGTTGCCTACTGCTCCTCTGTGTAGTTAAAATGCTTCTCATCATTCCAAGATGCTACAGTAGCAAAGCTACTCGGCCTAGAAACACAGTTTCTGGTTTTCCTGTGCCAAACCACCTCTCCAGCTGGGCTCAGTGTCTTTTTCTGAACACACTTAGTGCGGATCTCATCCCTACCTGCAGATGTGGGGATTGGATGTGAGCCCTTCCAAAGGAAAAGTTCTGCCTGTGCTACAGTCCATCTTACAGCTTCATCGCCACCTGCCACAAAAATCCCTCAGAACAATGAAAACCCCCGCAAACCTCTGGACATTAAACGTATCATGTACTGTTTCAATTAAAATGATTTCCCCATCACTGGCAGCTGAAACAGCTTCTCTGCTTTCTCTTAGACAGTATTAACTGCATTTATATTCTGCCTTTTTTCTTTTCATGATGACTCCAAGGCAAAATTGTCATAGCTATGTTTCATCCCCACAACAACCACCCTGTGAGGTAGGCTATGCCAAGGGTCAAGGACTGGCCCAAATTTGCCTGGTGACTTTCATGGCTTGAGCGAGGACTAGAATCTGGCTCTCCCGGGTCCCCAGGGAAACACTGTAACTGCCACACCATACGGGTTCTCACAACAATCCTGTGAGGTAGGATAGGCTGAGAGTGAATGCCAGGCCCACACTGACTCTCCATGTTTTGTCGAACAGTAGGAGAATATTGTTTGCTTTAGTGCAGTGGCAGAATCATCCAAAGCAAGGCACGCATGGCGGGGGACGATGGGAGTTGTGTTCCAACACATGGCGGGCGCCGTAGCGAGGGCGCAGAACATCGCCACCCTTCGCGGAGGAGCCATGAGACTCGCGTGGCTCCTGCGTGGCCGAGGAAGGCGGCAGGGGGCCCCGCGAGGAGAGGCCCTTCCTGGGCTGAACGGGGCTGGCTGGGCCGGGGAAGGGCAGCGAGGCCCGGCGGGCGGGCGGGCGGGCGCGCGCGCGGGGCAGGGAAAAGCTGCGTAAGCGCTCGGAGGAGAACCAGCGACCTCACCCTTGTCGCAGAGGCGGGAGGGAGGGGGAGGGGCGGGGAGGGGCGCGCTGACGGGCCAATAAGGGGCGAGAGGGGCGGCCTCGCGCCCCGCCTTCTCCCGCTCTTTCCCAAACATACGCTCTTCTGTGAGGTGGGGGGGGGGAGAATATTAAAAAATAAGAAAAAGGCGGAGCTTCAAGCGCGCTCGGTTTCCGGCGTCGGTCGGGCGTGCGTGAGCGCTCGTGCGCGCGCAGGACAAGCGGGCCGTCACCGGAAGTGAGTATCGGCCGCGAGGAGGAGAGGGAGGAGAGTGGCGGCAGGAGAGCGGGAGGGTGGACCTGGGAGAGCGAAGTAAGTGAGGGAGGGAGGGAGACGGGGCGCGCCCCCGCGGAGACAGGAGGCGGGAGGGCAGGCGCGCGCGTACGTAGGTGCGTGCGCGCGCGCGCGGGGGGAGAGCGCGCGAGTGTGTGCGTGTGTGTGCGAGGAAGCGGGCGGGCGAGAGAGTTGAGCGAGCGCGAGGAGGAGGAGAGCCGGAGCGAGCGAGCGGGCGGGCGGCCGGGCGGACGGACGGACGGACGGACGGAGAAGGGCAGGCCGGGCCTGACGACGACGGCGGCGGCGGGCGGCGAGGGAAGAAGAAGATGGCGGACGGGGACAGCGGCAGCGAGCGAGGCGGCAGTGGCAGCGGCAGCGGCGGCGGCGGCGGCGGAGGCGGCGGGTTCCAGGGGCACCGCGGCGGCGGCGGGCCGGGCCCGGAGCAGGAGACGCAGGAGCTGGCCTCGAAGCGGCTGGACATCCAGAACAAGCGCTTCTACCTGGACGTGAAGCAGAACGCCAAGGGCCGCTTCCTGAAGATCGCCGAGGTGGGCGCGGGGGGCTCCAAGAGCCGCCTGACGCTCTCCATGGCGGTGGCCGCGGAGTTCCGCGACTACCTGGGCGACTTCATCGAGCACTACGCGCAGCTGGGGCCCAGCAGCCCCGAGCAGCTGGCGCAGGCCTCGCCCGGCGGGGAGGACGGCGCCGGCGCCGGCGGGCCGCGGCGCGCCCTGAAGAGCGAGTTCCTGGTGCGCGAGAACCGCAAGTACTACCTGGACCTGAAGGAGAACCAGCGCGGCCGCTTCCTGCGCATCCGCCAGACCATCAACCGCGGGCCGGGCGGCGGCGGCGGCGGCGGCGGGCCGGGCTTCCCCGGCGGGCCGCCGGGCCTTCAGAGCGGGCAGACCATCGCGCTGCCGGCGCAGGGCCTGATCGAGTTCCGCGACGCGCTGGCCAAGCTGATCGACGACTACGGCGCCGACGAGGACGAGCTGGGCGGCGGCGGCGGCGGCGGCCCGGGCGGCGGCGGCCTGTACGGCGAGCTGCCCGAGGGCACCTCCATCACGGTGGACTCGAAGCGCTTCTTCTTCGACGTGGGCTGCAACAAGTACGGCGTCTTCCTGCGTGTGAGCGAGGTGAAGCCCTCGTACCGCAACGCCATCACGGTGCCCTACAAGGCCTGGGCCAAGTTCGGCGGGGCCTTCTGTCGCTACGCGGACGAGATGCGAGACATCCAGGAGCGCCAGCGGGACAAGCTGTACGACCGCCGGGCCGGGCCTGCCGGGCCGGGGAGCGGCAGCGGGGCCGGAGACGACTCGGATGGCGACGACGTGGATGACGACTGAGCCTCTCCTCCTCCTCCCCTTCGCCCCATCGCTTTGACAACCTCCTTCCCTCCCGGGCCATCTCTGCTCCACCGGGGAGGCTGCCACGGATGGGGGGACTGGATGGAAACGGAACGAAACCTGATCCCGAGCTTTCTTCCCCCCTTCTTCCTCCTCCTCCTTTGGTGTCATCGAGGAGAGGGAGAGAGTGAGCGTCAAGATTATTGCCTGCATATACTCACCGACCTGCACCATTTTTGGAGCGGCCCCCTAGTTTTCTGATCTCTGACCCCTTCGTTTTTCCTGGGGATACAGTATCTGTCAGCCTGTTGGCCCATCCTCAGAAACCCTGGCTTTACATCATCGGCCCCTGCCCCCTGCAGAGGGGAATCCTTGTGACCTCGATTAACCTAAATCCAAGCCCATGGTGAAGAAAAATCTACCGCATAAATTCACTCCAGCCTTCCAAGGTTCCTCATCTACCTAATGACTGAAATGTTTCACTTTGCCCGAAGGAGGAAAAGAGCTGTCCTCTTTCTCTCCCGTACTCTTCTCTCTGGCAATTTTAAAATTGTGCCCCTCCGCTCTTGAAACCAGCATTCTGGAGACTGCATGCCACTGAGCACAGTTTGAAGGAAGGGAGAAGCCACCACAATGGTCCAGATCATTGGGGGTGAGGGTTGGGGGGTGGGTGCAGATCCTCATGGGGCAAGTTGTGAAGTTCTACAACAATCATGGATTTAGCCCAGCAGAAGTGGGGGGAGGGTTAAAATGGGACAGGGGTGGGACATAAAGGGTGGGCAGAGGAAAGAACCAGAGCTTGGGGGAAGATAGTAGAGGGGGAAGCCTGTATCCGGACCAATGTCCATTGTTGTCTCTTATTTTCCCCTTTCCAAAATTGTGTGTTTTATTTCTGGGATGCAAATTGCTGAGCTCCAGGTGCCTGAACTGGAATTGATAGTGAATTACTTTAAAGCTGGCAGGTTCTAAAGATCTTTAAAGGCTTTTCTTTTCTTTTTTTAATGGGGGTTGCAAACAGGCAGGTTAAAAAGAAACAGGCATAAAGCACAAGGAATGCAGAGTGGACTGATGGCTGCTCACTGAAGTTCTTCCCCTTCTCTCCAAATAAGGTGAAAGAGCAAATGGCTTTAGGAGGTGGAAATTGGAGCTGCATTTCCGCAACTCCCTAAGATGATCCAGTGAAATCTGGTCTGTGGCTAGGTTTTTGAAATGCAAAAATCTTAGAATTGTAATCTGGCAAAGGAAGTGTGTGGCTTCAAGTCTGTAAAAAGATTGAGAAGGAAACTGGAGGCTTTTTTCATCGTGCAAATAAATGGACATGTTCTGTGAAAACAGACACCGAGAACCTCAGGTCCAGAAGTCCAGCATTGGTTATTCTTTTAACAAGATTTTTTTTAACAAAAAGAGAACTTAGTCCATTTTCTCAGTACCTCGCATTATGTTAACAGCAAAGTTGGCAAGAATGGATTGATGGGATGGATTGTGCGGAGCAATGCATGCCCTGTGGGAGCTTGATACTCATCACTAAAAAGAAGCAGAAAGAAATCGACAAAATTCTGTGACTATGAACATACCCTAGCAGCATTTACCACCTTCAAATTTTATTATAGACTGGCTACTGCCAATTCGTCCAACTGTCCTTCCCAAACAAAGTTGGGTCTCCCCACCCAGAGAATTGCCTCATCTATATATTTTAAATGGATTCTTATCTAAAATGATATTTTTTTAAAACTAATGAAGTAAGTCCTATCCCCTCTAAAAATGTGTTTTTAGATACATCATATACTAGCAACTTTGAATTGAATGGGAATTATACTGTTCATTACAAAGTTTCGGGTATTATTTGTGTGACATCTTAAGAGGCAGGTAAAGCTTCCTCTACAATCTTTTTTTAATTGTGCATGCCTGTCTTTTATTTGAGCTGCCTTTTTAATTTATTGCATACCCTTATCACCTTATTTTGGTATTATTCTTATCTATACTGTCTTTGTTTTGTATTTATTAGACGGCAAGAAGACATAAAAAGCATTTCCTCACTCAGTTGTGGCTGTAATGGGGAAATTGGCTGGAATTTTCTAAACAATAAAATAAAATTGGTTTTACTATAGTTACTAAGAAAATCAGCAAACGTCAGAATAGTTTACTACAGAATGTTCAGCCACACATGCGATTGTCTATTTTAAAGCTATTTCTTTATTCCCAGTATCCATGGTAGATCTTTTAATCATATTCCTGAAGAAACTTCTTTCCATTTTTCTCCGTCGCAAAGAACTTGTTTCCTGAATTGTAATGGGAGCAATAGTATTTCTTGATGTTTTAATTACATCCGTATACTTGTACTGTATTTTGTACTCTCCAAGGCAGCTGTTTTCAATAATGTCCTGCTGTATTTACCTATGTATTTTTGTTCAAATGTATGTAGTTCTTTGCTGCGGAGAACAATTTTCACCAACAAAAGGTTCATGATACAGATTAACTGGGATGCTGCAGCCCTCTAGGATTGCAGAAAACTCTGCTTAACTGAATAGAACTCTAGGCAGCAATGACAATTAAGGCTGCAGATGCTTGGTGTATATTGCTGTAACTCTTCACTCATTTTAAAACTGTAAAATATTTGTATAGACCAACAATGTTTTGTTGCTTCAGTGGTAATTGGTCCCCCCCCCCCTTTTGTTGCTCAGCTGCTGTGAGCCAGTTAAGTTCTTGCAAAGATGCAGTACCTCTCCTTTTCGGGAGGACCTCTTTTGGCTGAATTGCAGTAACTAGCCTTACCTTTGTATTATGTGGTAGTGACAGGGTTTTGACTGTCCCTGGCCAGTGGCTACATTAGCTATAATTAGCTGCCGAAGAAGTCTGTGGAAGTGGACAGAAGCGAACATCGGTTGTATGCCAAGAACGTTGCCATATATGGTGTTGGCTTTGGCAACCAGAAAAAGTCTCCTGTAGTCATTACGCCAGTTAAGCTAATGTGTATTGAGTACACAGAATGACACGTGAACTTTCAAGGTGCATAGGTGGTGACAATGCAATGCATCAGTAAGTCTAAATCAGAATTTTGGGCCTGCTCGCGCCCAGCTAAGTATAAGTGGTAGGCGTTTAATTTCTTTTTATTTCTATTGCTATTATTTCAGTGCAGTAGGTGAACAGCTAGGCCTCTTGCTATGGGAAAATTAGGCCTGGTGGCACCAGGCTTTCTAGGTATAAGAGTTCACTGTGGAAATCTGGATTCTTGGAGAGGGAGGCAGTGGGGAAGGCAGCTTGACTGAAATCTGTACAAATCGAGCCTTTTCCCCACTTGCAGAGCTTGGAACGTTGGGTTTTAAAACAGTTGAGGCTGCAAATATTGTTTGAAAGTGATTTGGAAACCTTAATGGGGCCTCCGTGTAAGAGGAGTCACCATTGGCATAGGCTAACTGATAGAATACCTGCCCACACACCTTGCACACACTTAAGAATCACGCGGCTGTCTCAGCATGATAGTTTGTCTCAGCGATGGCTCTCTGCAAATTTTGAGCAGGCATCCTTGTGCCTGTCTAGGGAAATCACCGTTTCTGTGGCGGGGATATTTGGTCATGCTGGGAAAATATATACCCAGATCATACCTGAGATTATTAAACCCTGTTCCTGTTTATATTCCTATGCTTAAACATTAATTTGGGCAAAAGCTTCCCTATTCTTGGTGCTGCAGGTAACTCATATCCTTGATTTTTTTCCTGCAGCAATGTTGACAATACCTCAGTGCAGTTTACAAGCTGCTGCATCCCACATACCTGTGATTAAGCTTGCGCGAGCCCATTAAAGTTACTGGTGTTAAGCTGTCACATGTTCAGGTATGTCGATTTAAGTGGCTTGTGGATCACTGTCTTATTAAAATGTAGATTCTGTAGAGAAAAAAATGGACAACCTCTCTGGGGAGTTCTGCATATCTGGCATTTCTCGACTTCTATTGTCCTTGAAATGATGCATCTGCTGTACAAAATGAAATGTAAATCTTGTATAGCACCAAAAATTGTAAATATTTGAGGCATACAGGTATAAACGCCCGTAGCTTTAGCTCACATCTAGTTATGGGTTCATGTTTTTATCTCCATAGTTGTCTGCTGCAGAGCACTTGCAGGTCTATCAGCGAGGGCTGTGATTCTTTTATCTCAAAAGAAAAGTAGTCAGTGTTGCTTACCCTGGAATTGTTTGCAACAGGTTACAGATCCTAAAAAAATAAAATTAAAGCTTCTGCTTCAGTTTCTCTCCCCCCAAAACACAGATGATTATCCTGTCCTAGCATGTAGTTTTCAGGATAATGGGCATAAGAGGCAAGTGACAAGAAACCACTCATATTGAGTGGTCCCATTGTTAACTGCGCACGCCAGGGATTGGCACAGCTGAGGAGGACTTGTGAGCTGCCCCTGTCGTTAAAGGGGGTGGTGTAGTGTATTTCACTACACAGGAGATTTTGAAAAGTGACTAACTCAGGCAACTTTTCTCTTGTGAGGGTGGCAGTTTTGTGATTTTGGTGGAAAACTGTTCAGTGCATAAACAATGCGTGGACATCTCAAAAGTTTTAACAGAAAAGTTATGGTACTTTATCTGATGCACAATTTAATCTCTCAGCAGATATTCAGTTTTTATTAAAAAAAACAAACAACTTGTGGCCTTGACTCTTAGAGAGATGGAGGAAAATCTAATTTTTCCCATTATGAAAGTGGCACTTTTTGGCTTCAATTTTATTCTAATTCTGCAAAGTTCTTAGTAAACATGTCATTGTTATACCTCCTTTTTAAGGCAGGAAAATGGTAGATGTATTGACACATGTTTGCTATGGATTACATTTAGTTTTCTAAAAGGATAGAACCACCAATCTAGTGGAGGCTAAACATTTACAAGGACCCTGCTACCTTTTAAAAAAATGGGTATATTCAAAAAATTTCCCGAAAACATGAAGTGTAGGTAATTTTTCTTTTACCCAGCAGAGCCCTTTGGGGATATCTACTCTACAGATAGATCTAATATACTGAACGGTCATAACTTTCACCAAAGAATCTTGGCGCTTGTCCTTGGATGAGGGTGCTGGGAGGTCCATAGCCCCTCACAAAAGTAAAATTCCTTGGGGAGAGTGAATGGCTCTGAAGCCTGCTTAAACCTGTTGTGTAGATATGCCCAAGGTCCTGCAGCTGGCTGCTCAAACTTTTACAGTTACGTACAAATGCTAAATGGGTAGTGGCAGGTCTCTCATTGCGTATTTCTTGGTTCCTTGTTCATCCTGATGAATTTGTGGTGTAAATACATAATCTTCATGGTCGCTTTCTTCTGCAGTGTACTTCTTGATGATCTGATTCCAGGTCTTCTAGGGGTTTTTAGAAACCTTGCCTCTTGTCCAGTGCTGCTGCTTATGGTAATTTAGTGTCAGCAAAATTACTGTAGTTAAATGTTGTGCTTGAGCGTTCGCCAGATCATCTTAATTGTTAGATGGAGTTTACTGCTAAAACGTCCATACTTGGGGATGATTTGTTAGATCAGTGATTTCCACAGCTTAAAGTTGGAAATTCCTGGCTGTAATAAGAAAACAAAACCCAATTCCTCCTTCCCCTTCTTGGAGGTTCTGAGGAACCCTTTCTTTTGCACTTTGTGGTTTTAGCCAACACAAGACGAATGCAAAACAGGACAGGACTGTGAAAGATCGCTTTTTCGAGGGTATCCTGACATTGGAGAGAGAGAAAACACAATATAGTGGATGAAACCTAGCAGCTGTCCCATACAGGGTTTCCAGCCCAGAGAAGTTTAATAGCTGAAGCAAATATTCAAACACCAGAGTGCGGCTGTGAATTACTACCTCTTGTACCTGTAGAATGACAGTTATTTGCCATGGTGCTAGACTAGCTACATCTTAATATAGTCAGATTGCTTTTCCATTGTAATATATGGTGGAATAGGATTTTTCCTTTAAAAATCCCACTGTTACGGTCTAGACCACAAAAATATATTGTAGAGTTGTAACACAGTGGCTGGGAACTAAAAAAACCTGAATGACTAACCTTGTGTGCTTGAGCAGGGGTTAGACTCGTGTTTCTTAAAGCACATCATGTTGTATGGTAGATCACTTTTGAAACTGAGAAAAGTTTCAAAAGCAGTTTGTAGCACAGACGATCTCTGATTAGAAAGAGAAAGAGAGAAACACTCCCAGAATCTCACCAAGTACATGGAATGCCATTGGCTACACCAGAAGTGCTTTTCTGGGCTCTGGCCTGTAATCTTCAATTTAAAACTGCAGCTGTAGAATTTAAAGTCAGCTGTATAAACTGGCTTGTATCTGATTTTGGAGAACTAAGGGACACTCTAGAGGAGTGCTGCTCAGGGTATGGGAATATCGGAGTATTCTTTCAAGGATGAGAGTTCCCCCTTGCTCGTCTTTCACAGTTGTATCGAGGGCTGTCTGTTGCATTGGTTTCTAATGAGAAGCATTAAGTTGCCAAAAATGCTTGCTTGAGGAAGATAGGATGTTCCAGAATGTTGACTAATTAACTTCATAATCAATTATCACCTTGATTTTCTTTGCCAGTCTTCTCCCCCTAGCCCCTGTGTTTTTAATCTGACAAGGAGATAATGCTCGAGGTTTCGATATCTACTGGAAATACCAACAAAATTCTGTCTCTTAAATTCCGCATAGGGAAGGTTAAGTGCGCTTTGTCAAAGCCGTTTTGTAATATGCTGCTATGTAGCCTTAATCTTGTAATGTATTGTGCGTATGTGTATATGTGTGTGTGTGTGTGTGTAGTATGTATACACTTACATACAAAATAAGCAACTCACAGCTAAGAAGCAGAATGTTCTGGTTTGTTGAAACTTTCGTAAAAGTGCAGGAAAGCTTGCTGCTTCCTTCACCCGCCCCAGTTTACTGCCACTCTATACTGTCAAGGTAGTCTGTGTTTAAAACTCGCAGAGAGAGCTTAATTCAAAACAGCAGTCGCTGCGCATCATTTTAATCTAGGCAAGTTTCCAAGGCAAGATGTTTAATTTCCTGCCCTGCTTTTCTAGGTTGAAAGGCCCATCTGGTTAGAAACACCCATATTTGAATTTATGCAGGGTTTACAGGAAGAATATAGTTTAATCTAAGTTTCTTCTTGCTGCCCCCTCTTCAGAATTGGAGCTGTTGGCTCAGGCATGCTCCAAATCAAGAGGGCCATGTAAGTGGTCCCCCAGCTTATATGCATTGTCTAAGTATTTCTATCTTACCCGTGCTTTTTCAGGATGGCCAGCTAGGAGAAAAGGGTCAGGTCACTGGTAGGCTGCCAAGAACATGAGCTGCTCTCTACCTTCTGTCCATCCCCTCTGGTATCTTATAAATGTGCAAGTATGTATTGCTGAATCCAGATTCTCATTGCTCTGTAGGGCAATCTGTGTAGAAAATGTGGCTTTTACACCTGTGTAAAATAGTGGTTCTCAAACTCGGCTGCTAGGAATCCTAGAGATCTGCATGAGCTTTGTAAGGCCCCTTATGAAGGCTGCCTGTCCATCATATTGAGGGGCAGCTGTGGGGGGATTATGGCATTTGGGAACTTGTTCTCAGTTGGTGAGCGGCGACAGCAAGGCCTCATCATGACCCGTTTGAATGGGAGGCGTGCCCTAGAATGTACCCGAGAATTCCCTGCAATGCACATAACATTCTACAGCAGATGTTCAAGGCAGGCTAAATTCTTTGTGAAACTGGTTCTCCGAAGGTGTGAAGTTTGAAAGCCAAGCAAACATGGAGTGATGGCCTGTATTATGGTAGGCAGTTTATTTTTGTTAATGTTCTAGTGCCAGTTCTGTAGTGCTGGCAGTCTTCCACGTTTTGTCAAGACCAGTGGAACAAACGCAACTCACCCGGTTTCAAGGTCCGCTGCTGTTTTGCACTGCTTAGCTGGATTGAAATTTGCACAGGGGGCAGATCTTGCAAGCACAAGTCCTCCATTGCTGTGGTTGGAAGGTGCACCTCTGCTGTGCTTGTTTGCTTGGTCTTTGACGTCCATTTCCAGTGGAAGGTGTTGCAAGCAGCTACCTCTTCACATTAGAGGTTTTGCTTGTGGCAGATGTTACAGTCTATGGCTGACTTTCATGGTAACATTCCTCAAAAGCAAAGTGCAGGGTTATCAAGACTGGGCAGGGCTGTGCGGGATCAGTGCCCTCAGGAAGTGGAAGTTTTACTGGGCTGAATGTACAATGTCAGTAGCAAGCAAATAGTTAAATTTGGTATAGAGTTGAGAAAACCTTGTGCAAGTGATATATTGATCATACTTGGATGTAATCAATCAACCCATATGTAAATATACACGTTTGTACATTGTATACATAGAAAGAGATGTCTGTGTACATGTGTATGTATTTATAAAATTGTTTCTCTGCTAGATAGTAAATGCAAAAGTAGCTCTAATTTTATATATATTATATATAAAAAGCTCCCCTCTATAAATATATTCTATAAATGCTAGAAGTTAATTTGTAGTAAAATAGGACTGATTTCAGGAATATCTGCTGAGAGACCAAAAAGTTCACTTTTAAGTACCTTAATTAAAGAATAAAGTTTATTCCTCTTGTTTATTTTTTTATTAAAATAATTAAATGCACTTTAACTGGCTACACACACACACACACACACACACACACCGCTGCATGGTGCAGTTTCAAACATGGAAATGTTTCAGAAGTGCAGCACCCGTTCAAATAATACTCCCTTTTCACCTGTCAAGCAGAGCGCTGGAAACGATTTGAAATCCCAGGGTCTGAGCCGCCTGTTTGTCTTGCTGCCCGTTGGCTGAAGCTTAGATTCTGATTTCCCTTTTTGGGGTGGGGGGTGGGGGCTAGCAGGACTGCTTCTTAAAGAGCAATGTGGATACAGCCAGATGCTACAGGGCTGTTTTCAAATAGGCAGGTCCTGGATTTACCACTAGCCAACTAGCAAAAAGTCCGAATGACATAAAGAACTCATGTTAGTTGAGCACTCCTGACAATAGCAGGTTTTTGCAAATGGAGTTTTACAGTCTATATTTAAAAAATTGTATGTTTGTAACAAATAAAAGTATGCGGAAAAGTGAATGAACCATTTACAGCAGACTCTGTTTTTTTTTTAATGTGGGGAGAAATGTGTGTGATGCTTTTGAAGGTTAATCATTCATTACGGTGGAGTCATATTGGGTCTGTCATGGAATCACATCATGGTAAAACATTACCTACTTAAAGAGGAAACAAATGCTTGAGCAAGCAAGTAGATAAACTAAGGAAACCTTGAGGTTGATAAAATCATATAGAGGAAGAGTTGTCCCATTGATCAGTCACCAGATAAATTCATGGACGACACAGGGCGACCTTGTGTTGGTGCCATTTCTCTCTCTCTCTCCCTCCCTTTTGCAGTGTTTGTGAACAACAGCCCTGCTTCCGTCACCTGTAGATTGACCTGCGCCAAGGAAGCAGTGGTGGCAGATGATGATTGTACTTGGATGCACCCATCTTGCATGTAGGGAATTGAGACCAGGAGATGGCAAACTGCTTCCATGCTGACTCAGTAGTTGAGCTGGGATACAAAAATCCCTGGAATCCTGCTGAAACATGAGCACAACACATCTGACTTTTACTATCCTACCAGAACGAAACTGAGGTATATGCCATGCAGATATCAGCATTCAAAAATGGCCTCGTGATCCCTGCAGTACTCCTAAAACTGCAATTTTGTAATCCACTGACAAATGCATCAGAAAATGCCTTGTCTTGCTTTTGCTTTTAAAAAACAAGATTGTCCAGAGATGGGTTAGGTCATTCCATTCAATCTTTCCAAACTGGCAGCGTTTGACACTTCTGAGTGCATTCAGTGCAGATCACAATTGGAAATACTATACTGATAAACCTGTTCAACCGTTTGAAAATGTAGCTGGGTCTTTTGTGTGGCAGGTGTTGATTATCCTTATTCAGTGAAGTCTTGCCCAAGCTCCTCATGGGTGTGCTTTGTTTAAAGGGCTTGACGATTTGTATATCCCTAGATGAAATGGAAGAAATGTTACTAACTCATTTGCTGTAGTCTCAGTTGCCACTAGCCAGCTCTTTCCATCTTGAAATAGCACCTATGCTCATGCCTTTATTTTCTTCTTTGCCCCCAGCCAGGACTGCATTCTGGAGGAGTGAAAAAAGGAAGGTAGTATGTTGGATGCAACATTCAGCTTCTTGCAAATCTTTCCCCTCCCCATTTTAATTTTAATCCCTTCTGGCTGACAGGATCTGCTATAAAATGTGTGACCAATGCCATCACATCTTGAGCTTCCCTATTTTAAGTAAAATCAAAATAAATAGTAGGCTCGCAGTTTATCATATGCAAAATTATACTTACATTTAAAATTGCTCAAGTTTGGCAGATTGCAGTATCTCTTGATGCTGACATTGAATCGCCTCTGCAAAATTCTTACACATAGAGGCGTCAATTCTTGCTAATAAAATCTCAGATTTTGAAGAGGGAAACGTGTTTATCTGAATGCCTTTGAGCCCACATCCATGTAAGGTTTGAGCTGCTCTTTCTCATTGCATAGTACAATACCTGAACAGCAGCTGCACAGAGAGAGCTGCAGTTTGTTCTAACTAGTGTTCCAGTACGCAATACCTGCCTTCTCAGGTAGGAAATGCCTGCTTGGCAAGGTGCTGCTAGGTGCATTGCAGAGGCAAAGTTTTTTCAGGCAGGTTTCAATTCATCCTGCAAGAGGATCTTGCTGATCAAAAAGAAGAGGGAGCAAATTCTTCTTTGGTACTTGCAAAAGAGGCGATTAGAGATGGTTTGAACAGAATGTGCTTGCACGTAGTCGCTGAAGGGCTCCCCGTGTGGAGTTCTGCCAATCTGCTCCCTCCTGAGCCTACATCATCCACTTATTCTGGGCCCATTCTATCTTCTTTTCTTCCCTTTTATTATTCCAGCCCTGCTTTCCAAGCTTTATCTGCATTCCACATTTCTAACATTCCAGCTTGAAGATTTCTGATAGCATCTCAGTCCAAAGGGGCCTGCTAGCCAAAGATTTGGCTGCTTCATTTCAAATGAATTGGTGAATTGTAACGCTTCCATAAAACCAGGACTGTATGTTCACCTACAGCCCTTAAACTTGCTGTGTGTGTGTGTGGGGGGGTGCTATTTTGCCTCTTCTGGTCCCCTGCTTCCTCCTCTTGGAGCTCCTGTAGCTCTCCTAGGCCCTTCTACCTACCCTTCTTCACCGTGTCAGCTAAAATAGAGGGTAGGCAAACACAACCCAAAGCTTTATCACCAAACCCCTTAGTATGTTGTGCCATGCAGACTTGGACAATGTGTATCCTCCAGATGCTGGCCTGCAACTCTTACTGGCCCTGCTGGCTCAAGGCTAATGGGGATTGCCCACACCATCTGAAGGGCCACCCCTGGGGGATAAGAGAAAGGCGATCTGGTCCACCCCACCCCTGCTCTAGGCAAGATTGCCAGTTGCCCAGTTCTTGCATGCCAAGCCACCCAGCACAGACGGAGCCTTGGCTGTCTCTCTTCCAGGGGAGTGCTTCATGGGCCACGTTAGGCAAAGTGAGGCAAGCTCCTCGGGCGGCTGATGCTCGGAGGGGGCAGCCAAGAGGAAAAACGAGGGTGCAGTGTGCCTGCAGCCTGCACTGCTTTCCACTGGGTGCTTTCCTGTGCGGAGCAGGAGGGCCCATTGCCAGTGTGGAAGAAAGACGCGGCTGCCAGTCCAGCTGGCTTTTGCAGATGGAATGAGAAGAGGCGCCATCTTACCAGCTGTCTCACGCAGCACAGTGTCTCTGGCTGGCTCTGGCACTTCAGCAAAGGATGGACACAGACCACTTGCAGTTCCTCACAATTTTAGATTGCTCTTCGCATCAGCCCTCGCCGCCCTTCCCCACGGTGAGTGCTCTTGAGAGCTGCAGTCCAACACCACTTGGAAGCTGCATGGTACCAGGCCCGGTGCCTCCTTCCAGGATCCTGCGATGGGTTGGACTAGATGACCTCTCAGAACCTGGATCCTCTTCGTAGGCCAGAGCAGCTTGATGTGGGAGGAAGCAAAGCTGGAGATGGAGACAGGCCTTGATGGGGGGATGGGGAGGCTTGCTGGGCGGGGGTGCCCAGGCAGGGGTGGGGGAAGAAAGCCTCCCCAACTGAAACCCTCATTTCTCGCCCTGCGCAGAGTCCGAGAGAGTGGCTGCTGGATCAGGCCCAGCAACCTGCTCTGTTGGACAGGCGCCCCCACAGCGCTCCACTTCCCCTGGCGCTGCGCACTTGGGTTTCCCCCGGCCAAGGAGGCACCCGCAGGCGGCCTGGGGAGAGCAGGGCCAGGGACGAGCCCGCCTGCCCTCCGCTGAACCACCTTCCCACACGGGGCGCGGGCAGGGCTGCGCAGGGCTGTGGACAGGCTGTGTCAGCCGGGCCCCTTGGCGCCTCGCCTCGCCCCCTCTGCTCCACCCCCGCTTAATTGGATGTCCCCTTTGAGAGCAAGAGAATTCTTAGGAGACAGGAGGCCTTCAAAGGCACGAACGGAGGGACTTGCAGCATATGTTAGATGGTGTATGCATGGTTGTGGATGATGGGGTTTGGTTCCACGGGCATGAACCCTGGACTTTGTAAGTTCTCAGCACTGGGCTAGAATAGGGCTGGTTTTCACAGGGCATCTCTGGGAGAGAAGAAGAAAATGTTGGCAATGCTCGGACATGTGCAGTAGTCTTGTATGCTTGTGTGATCCCCTCCTTGGAAGTCAATGCTGCAACCTTCCATTCGGGTCTCCCCCCCCCCCCCCGCCACAGTCTAGGGGAAGGGTTGTGGTAGTCTCCAGACCCTGGAAGTGCTAAATCAGGACCTCAGAAGGGCTGGATTGATTTGGGGGCTGAAGATTTCTCATTCCTGATCTCAGGAGAATCAAGCTATTTGGAGGATAAAAGACACAGAATGAAAGCATTATCCTGCAAGAGACAGTTTCTCTTTACAAAATAAACAGTAACACCCATGAGCAAGAATCTGTCCAAATGATGCAGGTTTCTTCAGGTAGTCATTTGCTAAAAGCGTCTTTGTTGAACAGGTGTGGCAAAGTGGACTGGGAGGGGCAGAGCTTCAGGTGTTTCCTGTGCTCTAAAGAGCAAGTCCTATGGAACAAACTGACACTTACTTCTGATTAAATGTGCATGGGATCACTAGGGCTGCAGGCACAGCCAAGCTAAACACTCTAAAATTCACTCTGTCTACTGGCAAACTCACCTGGTGAGGATGGACAAGACTGCAGCTGAAACTGGCGCAGTGAGAGGAAAGCAGGAGATACTCTGGAGGACCTCAAGGTTCGCAGAAGTACAACCAATGCTTGGGGCTGGGAAATGTACGGAGGCGACACCCTGCTAGCACAAGCCCAGCTGGAGTGCACTCTGTAGCAGCAGTCTTGCTAGCTCCCAAAGGATCAGTGGTTCAAACCCAGCCAACAAGAAAAACGCACACATGTATATGCACGTACATATGCACGTATGTATAATACGGTATATAAACATTGTGTGCTCGTGCATATATGTAATGCACCTATATTACACAAATATATATGCGTATACATATGCATGTACGTATTATACATGGTATATAAAATTATGTGTGCATATATATCTGCATTACATATATGCATTATGATTCTATTATAATAATTTATGTGCACACACGCACACACATATAACATAAATGTATATATAAGCACACACAGAACCTCAGGCAGAAAGGTGCAGAGAGGAGACAGCAGGAGAGGAAGCTCCCAGGGGCCAATGAACTCGGGGGGGGGGGGACTGCAGGTTGCTGAGATCCTAAGAGGTCCTACGGGGTCTCTTTATTCCAGCAAGTGCCCATGGGCAGCAAGGGTGACACCGCCTTCCCTGAGATTCCGGGCTCCAAAGAGGTGGGGCACCAGCCCTAGTGTGCCTGCCTCAGCATGTCCCACGCAGCGACCAGAGGATGCCCTTGCTGCGGGAACAGAAGGCGCGGAAGGGATCGGGATGGGGCGGCCCAGAACAGAAACGCTGCTGAGAGCAGGCCGTTGCAGGACGCGGCAGCCGGGCAAGGCCAAGAGGGTCAAGGCGCTCCGCTTCCAACCGTTTCGGCACCCGGACAGAAGCATCCATTTGCTTCCCGGGGCACGTACTGCGAGCGCGGCCGCGGGGGCCGGCCCACGGGGCTGGCCGGGAGCCTCTGCGCCCGCATGTCCTTGCTCCCTGTCCCTTCCGCGCGTCTGGGGCAGGCCAGCGGCCGTGGCGTCGCGGTCACAAGCAGCCGCCGAGGACGCGCCCCTCCCGCGCATGGAAACGGCGGCGGGGGGCGCTGAGGAGCGGGGCTCTGTGGGGGCAGCAGGAGAGGGGGGCCCCCGTGCGAGCCGAGGCTGATGCGCAGGAAGGCGCGCGACCGCAGCGCGCCAGTCCTCACCCCGGCGGGGGCGCGCGCCCGGCGGGAGGGGCCGCGCGCTGTGACGCGCGTTCCCCCTCGCTCCCCGCGCCTGCTCGTCCTCGGTGCAAAGTACACACGCAGGCAGCGCCGGGAGATCTGCTCGCCGCGGCGGCTCCGCCTTCGCAAAAGCGCCGCCTCCCGCCTTACCTCAGATGAACCCGGCCGGCTGGCCTCGCCTGCCGCCGCCTCTGCGCGCTGTTCCCTGCACGGATCGATAGGCAGGCGGGCAGCGTCGAGGGCGCCCCCGAGCAGGAGCGGCGGGGGCTTCCGCGGGGCGGAGGCGCCCCAGCACCAAGGCCCCCGAAGTCGGCTTGGCGCGCACGAAGGAGGGCCGCGAGCAGGGCGGCGGCCCCGATCCCAGTCGGACGAGCTCCTCGCCCTCCGCAGCCTTCTCCATGGATTCCTCCAAGGGGGCGGCTGCCTCCGTTGGAGAACTTGGCGTCGCTGAGCCAAGTCTTTGACTCCCAGCCTGGCCTACCTCACAGGGCTGTCGTGAGGATAAGCATTGTATGAGCTGCCTTAGGTGGCTTGCAGGGAGAAAGGCGGGATGGAATAACATTAGATAAAACTCTGAGGAGTCCTGAGCACAGCCTGTGCTGGGTGGGGCTGAAGCCCGAAAGGTCTGGAGGTCGCCACACTGCCTCGCAGGACACAATCGGGCGCTGCGCAAAGGACACAGCCCTTCGCCTGCGTGTGTGCGGCGCACAAGTGGCGCAAGCAAGCCGAAACATGGCAGGAGCGGCCAACCTTGGGCCACTCGGTTGTTCGGCCTCCAGCTCCCCTCTGCAGCCGTTTTCGCGATTGCTGCAGCGCCTGCTTGCTCACTGGCGCAACACACCCACTCCGCTTGTGCTGGGTTGTGCTCGCTTCACTGTCCGACCCAGTAGGAAACGCGCGCTGCACGGACCGAACAGGAAACGGTCGCATCCCGCCCGGCGCGTATTATATTCCGGCGTCAGCGCAGGCCCCGGGTCAAGGGCTGTGAACCAACACCCTGCGCTTTCCATGCCTCCGGGCACCGTTTGCCTCTCCCCGCCTTGCACTCAGACGTCGCCCTGCTCACAGGGGGCGCACGGAAACCAGCGCGGCAAGTGCATGCCTTGCGCGGCTTTCCCAGGATCTCCTCTACGTACGGGCCGCGCCCCCACCCGCCCCGTGTCTCCATTGCGTTGCCAGCCCCATTCCCTGCCCGGCTATGTGCAACTCACGGAATAAGTGCGCACGTGCGAACGTCGGCGAATCAGCTATCTGGGGATGCGTGAGTGCCCCCCGCGAAGAGCAGAAGAATAAAAGTCCCCGCTGGGGCGGGCGCAGCGATCCTCTTCCCCCCACTCGCCTGCCGGCGCGCGTGGCCGCCTCCCCGCCTCCCTTCCTCGCGGGCGCGCCTGCGGACGTGGGTGCTCGCGGCCCCGGTTCAGCCGCCCTTTGGAGCGTCGACCACCGCCGCCCCGGCAATCACGCCCCCCCGGGCGAGCCACGCCAGCTCCAGTACACTCGGCGCGCACGTAGGACCCGCCACGCCGGGCCGGGCCGGGCCGGCCGAGGCGCGCTCCGGCTTCTGCGGCGAGGCCTTGGTGGCGCGCTGCTTGTAGGGGCCAGCCGCCGCCGCTTGGGGGCCGGTCTGCCAGCGCCCCCACCCATCCCATGCTGCTTCGGCTCGCCATCGCCCTGCTTTTGACCCGGGACCGGCGGGGGGGGGGAGATGGGCACATTCGCTCCTGCTGCAGCCCCCATAACCCAGGGGTTGGAGGGTCGCGGGTGAGCCGCACTCTGTGGGCCCCTGCCTGGCCGAGCCCACTTTCCCCCGCCGCGAGGAGGTGCTCGATCCCCCTCCTGTGCCTGCCCAACCGGCAGCTGGGCATCCCCCACTGCTCCTCCACCCCTTCGCTCTGCTCTGGGCCGAAGGAGTGAGGACTGCATCAGAGAGAAAGGCGCCCTCCCACCAGAGGGCCCCTGCGCCAGGTGGGTCCTCACAGGTGCCCAGCCATGCCTCCCCCTGCACTGGCCGTGGGGGGCACGGCTTCGCAGAGGGCGGGGCTATGGGAACTGCCCCACAGAGGCCTCCCCGCCTCTGCAGCCAGTGAGGAATAACTGGGGAAGATGCGTGAGGCGGAGCAGGGAGCTCGTCCATCGCGCCAGCCTCCCTCAGCCCTGCGCCTGCCAGGTGTGCTGCATCCCAGCATCCCTACATGCGCAGTGGTGAGCGGCGCGAGGGCATGGTGGGAGGTCCACGAAGGCAGCTGGGCACAGGCAGGTGTGCGGGAAAGCAGATGCGTCTTCCCCAGCCCTACCTGGAGAGGCCAGCGGTTGGACCTGGAGCACAGAAGCACAACCCAGGGCCTCGTGTGGCTCTCCCAGCCTTTCCCTCGCAGCTGGCCATGGGATGGGAGGAATGTTTGCTCAGCCCCAGAGCGCGGTTCTTTGAGCCGCAGCTGTGGAGCCACCGGGTTGA